CAAGCTGGACAGAAAAGGCTAGCTACGGGAGAGATGCTGCTATACTCCGGTCACAAAGAGGAAAATGCTACACACACTCAGGGAGTTGCTCTAATGCTGTCCAAAGTAGCACGAAATGCACTTGTAGGATGGGAATCTCATGGATCCACAATCATCAAAGCATCATTCAAAACAAAGAAGGAGAGGATCACAATGAATATTATCCAATGTTATGCACCCACCAATGATAGCAACGACGACATCAAAGATCAATTCTACGAACGGCTGCAATCAATCATAGAGAAGTGCCCAAGAAAGGACCTCACCATTCTAATGGGAAATCTAAATGCCGAAGTCGGAATAGACAACACCGGATATGAAGATATCATGAGACGACATGGACTGGGAGAGAGAAACGAAAATGGGGGAAGATTTGCAAATCTGTTTGCCTTCAACACATTGGTCATACGAGGCACAATATTTCCACACAAGCGTATACACAAAGCTACATGGATCTCACCGGATCACATTACAGAGAACCAGATAGATCATATTTGCATCAATGAAAAATTCCGAAGGACAATGAAAGATGTGAGAACCAGGAGAGGAGCTGATATAGCTTCAGATCACCAACTAGTTGTGGCTAATTTAAAACTGAAGCTAAAAAAGAACTGGAAAACTGGACAAAAAGCAATACAAAGGTTCAATACAACCTTCCTACGAGATACTGACAAACTCAATGAATTCATGATAGCCCTCAACAACAGGTTCCAAGCTTTACAAGATCTACTGAAGGAAGAAGAAACTACTATGGAGGACAACTGGGAAGACATCAAAGAAGCTTTAACTTCAACGTGTCAAGAGGTTCTGGGCCTAAAGAAACACCACCATAAGGAATGGATCTCTATAGAAACACTGGACAAGATCAAAGAAAGGAAGAACGAGAAGACAGCAATTAACAACAGCCGAACACGGGCAGAGGAAGTCCAAGCACAAGCTGAATACATAGAAGCAAACAAGCAAGTGGAGAAAAGCATTAGAGCCGACAAGAAGAAATACGTGGAAGAACTAGCAACGACGGCGGAAAAAGCTGCTAGAGAAGGAAATATGAAACAGCCTTACGATACAACGAAGAAACTATCAGGGAAATACAGTAAACCAGAGAGACTGGTCAAAGACAAAGAAGGCAAGCCAATCACTGAAATTCAACAACAGCGAAACAGATGGGTAGAATACTTCGAGGAACTCCTGAATAGGCCGGCTCCAATGAATCCACCGGACATCAAAGCAGCACACACAGATCTCCCCATAGACGTCAACCCACCAACGAAGGAAGAGATCGGAATGGCCGTCAGACAAATCAAGAACGGGAAAGCAGCAGGACCCGACAACATACCAGCTGAAGCACTGAAGTCAGACATCGAAGTAACTACAAACATGCTTTACCTTCTATTCAAAAAGATTTGGGAGGAGGAACAAGTGCCGATGGACTGGAAAGAAGGACACCTCATCAAGATTCCAAAGAAAAGAGATCTGAGTAAATGTGAACACTACAGAGGCATTACACTACTGTCAATATCAGGGAAGGTGTTCAACAGAGTGTTACTGAACTGGATGAAAGATGCAGTAGACGCCCAACTTCGTAAGGATTGGTCGTGCACAGACCAAATTGCAACACTACGGATCATCGTCGAACAATCAGTTGAGTGGAACTCAACACTGTACATCAACTTCATTGATTATGAAAAGGCATTTGACAGTGTGGATAGGAGGACGTTATGGAAACTTCTTCGACACTACGGAGTTCCTGAGAAGATTGTCAATATTATTCGGAACTCATACGACGGACTACAATGCAAAGTCGTGCATGGAGGACAGCTGAAAGATGCATTCCAAGTAAGGACCGGAGTCAGACAAGGCTGCTTACTCTCTCCCTTCCTTTTTCTTCTGGTGGTCGACTGGATTATGAGGACCTCGACATCTGAAGGAAAACACGGAATACAATGGACTTCGCAGATAACCTGGCCCTCCTATCGCATACACACGAACAGATGCAGACAAAGGCAGCCAGTGTAGCAGCAGTCTCTGCATCAGTAGGCCTCAGCATACACAAAGGGAAAACCAAGGTCCTCAAATTCAAAGTGGAGAACAGCAATCCAATCACTCTTGATGACGAAACTCTGGAAGATGTAGAATCCTTCACATACCTGGGAAGCATCATCGACGAACAAGGAGGCTCAGATGCAGACGTAAAGTCAAGGAATGGCAAAGCAAGGGTCGCATTCCTACAATTGAAGAACATATGGAACTCAAAACAACTTTCAACCAATATCAAAATGAGAATCTTCAATACGAACGTCAAGGCAGTTCTACTGTATGGAGCTGAAACTTGGAGAACTACAACAACCACCATCAAGAAGGTACAAGTATTTATAAATAGCTGTCTTCGCAAGATACTCAACATCCATTGGCCGGATACCATCAGCAACAGCCTTCTCTGGGAGAGAACAAACCAGCTTCCAGTTGAAGAAGAAATTAGGAAGACGATGGAAATGGATAGGACACACATTGAGGAAATCGTCAAACTGCATCACGAGACAAGCCCTAACTTGGAATCCTGAAGGGAAACAGAAAAAAGGAAGGCCAAAGAACACATTACGTCGAGAAATAGAAGCAGATATGAAAAGGCTGAATAGGAACCGGAAGGAGCTGGAAAGGATTGCCCAGGACAGGGTTGGACGGAGAATGCTGGTGAGCGGCCTATGCTTCTTCACGGAGTCACAGGCGTAAATAAGTAAGTAACCTTCTTTTAAGATTCTGAAGTTAGATGTAAACTTCATAATAATAGCTAGTTCATTTTTCATACCTGATTTATCATATGATTCTATTTGAAATATGACTAATATTTTACTAATTATAGCTAAATTATCTGTTTTTCCAGAATCACTTCCTTATTACTATAATGAATTAGTTAGATTTAAAAGAAGAACTACTAATATGAAATAATTGTTCAATTCGAAGTTAAAGGTAACTACAGAATATCACTTTAAATGATTTTAAACACCTTATAAACTATATTGAAAAGTCCTGGTTTCCACTGTAGTCACTGTCTATCTTTACTTAAATACATGTGACTTAATGGAAGTATCGAGGTAAACCGTACAATATGTACATATGTCAAGAGACTGTTCAAATGCAGTCCTGAATATCAAAAACCGGAAGATTTAAACATTTACAAATAATATAAATGTTATGACCTTGGATGTCTGACTTTTCGATCACATGACTTATCTACCAATCCGAATACGACTTATACGAATCTTCACACTAGGCCAACCAATGACGTTCAATCGGTGTGGGCAGTTTAGCGTCCTTATTGGTCCTATGTCCTACGGGCCCTTCCACTTGAGTCCAGAACAAATACCAGCTTCGAATCAGAGCAGATCGTTTATTTCAGGCATACTTGGTTTATATATCAATCACACAGACCGCAACGTACCAAAAAATAGGAAAATTATTATGACATTTTCGCTACCTGTGTTATACCTGAGGATAGTATATTTTGTAAATGAATTCCATATGTAAACATTTTTGTGTAGCCAGCTCACAATATTCTACGAGGTCTGAGCAATATTCCTCATACCCTTAGTTTGTCATTAACCCATGCTCCCTATTTTCGGGGAAAATCTACCCGTTTTCGATTAATTTTAGGCAAGCCACAATAGGAAATGCTGGAAAAGTGACACGAAAACCCCAGACGTTTCTCCAGATCTGGGGAAGATCCTCGAACTTTTGGAGAACTTTAGGGTTTACCCCAATATATGCCCGAAAACACTTCAGGGAGACCCCTAAAATTAACTCAGAATAGGAAGATTGAGAACCCAACAACTTAGAAAATTACATTTAACCACCTAGAAGTGCTCAAATACGCTTCCACCAGTTGAAAAACCTTAAAATATTGGGCTTAGAATTGCTGGTGACGTCGAAACCTATATCTCGTGATCCCAAACATCTGTCGGTAGGACTATATTTTATGGACGGCCTTTGAACGAATTTTTAAGTGACCTTGAACCTATTAGCCAATCAGAAGAGAGTTAGTATAAAGTAAAAACATTATAAAATACTTATGAATTACAGCAGATATTCTACTTTTACATGATTTAAAAACTTGTTAAGGTTAGATAAAGGTTCAGATGTCCTGAAATCATATTGCATAGGGTTAGGGTGCACAAACCAAAGTCTATGGAGGCATCTATACGCTTTCCAATTCCTCAAACGCTTCTGATTGGCTCGTCCATAAATTAGAGTCTTACCCAACTGTCTTGTGTAGGTTCGGTTAGAAATATCTTCATCCTACATAACCACCCTAAACTCGTAGCATCACTGCCGCTTGCTTGTAGTCCTAGAGTTGGAAAAGTAGTTTTTCCTAAGCCTCTTTAGGCAGGAAATGTTATGTTTCCTCGAGACATCCAAACAGAATTTTGGGCGAGACTCTAATTTAGGGACGAGCCAATCAGAAGCGTTTGAGCAATTTCAAGGTCACGGAGCCAAGTTCAACACGCGCTGCTAACATACGATCGGTTCACAGCGGATTTTAGAGAGTAGGTGATTAATGAGAGGTTACAACAGATGGGACGGCGAAACTCTAATTTAGGGACGAGCCAATGAGAAGCGTTTGAGCAATTTCAATTATTAGCCAATCAGAAGACAGTATAAATAAAAATATATTACAAGAAAGTAATGAATTACAGTGGATATTCTTCTTTTACATGATTTAAAAACTTGTTGAGGTTTGATAAAGACTCAGAAGTTCTGAATTCATAATGCATATTGTATAGAAACTCGTCCATAGGGTTAGGGTTTGGGGTTAAAATTAGGGTTAAGGGTTAGGTTAAGGTTAGGGTTAGGGTTAGATTAGGGTTTAGGGCTAAGGTTAGGGTTTTTGGGTTAGATTAGGGTTTAGGGTTAGGTTTGGTTAGGGTTAGGGTTAGTTTAGGGTTAGGGTTAGATTAGGGTTTAGGGTTAGGGTTAGATTTGGGTTTAGGGTTAGGGTTAGGTTAGGATTAGGGTGCTAACATGCGATCGGTTTACATCGGATTTTAGAGATGTGTTTACTTACAGGCTACAACCCTAACCACTAACCCTATGGACGAGTTTCTATACAATATGCATTATGTATTCAGAGCCTCTGAACCTTTATCAAACCTTAACAAGTTTTTAAATCATGTAAAAGAAGAATATCCACCGTAATTCATTACTTACTTACAATATATTCTCACTTTATACTAACTGTCTTCTGATTGGCTAATAATTGTCAAGGTCACTTAAGATTCGTTCAAAGGTCGTCCTTAAATTAGAGTCTCGCCGAATTTTGCATTACACAAAAATGTGTCTCTAGATCCCAAAACTCAGTGGGTGTTTTTGTCGTCAATTGATAGTAACTCAGAAATAACAATAGCAAACGGATACTGGGGTTTACAAGCACAGAATGATCCTAAACGTTCACTTAAAAATTATTTCGAAGCTAGAGTAGTACTTTTCTAATACTCAGGATTTCCTGGTTTGTTATATATCGCTCTGGTTTTTTTTTAACTATGCTGTACCTCAGCTAACATATTTATACGACCTTGCACTTACAGAGACTTCTCAGTTATTTTTAACAGATGATTATCAAACGTAGATCCATCTATAAATCCCCCTTAGTTGTGTTCATCGATAGTTTGCACTAGAGTCTAGACCTTAATTTTGTGCAGTAAAGGACGTGTTAGATGTCTACAAATAATACATTCCGTTACCAAATCAGAGTATCTTCTCTAAAGTGGATTGGAAGTAAGTAGACAAAATCGAGTGGTATTTTCCACTCGGGGCCCATTTTCGGACATCAGTTTGGCTAAGTATTGACTGGTCATTAAGAAACGAAAATACCTGTTGAGAAGTGACATACAGAGCACGATTTACATGGGATATCTCGTTCAATTTGTATATTTTTCAACCTATTTTAGGACAGTTCCATAAGACACCGAAAACAACCTACACTTTGATTTTATTGGTAAGCGTTTAGAACAAAGCTAGTGAACTTGGGTAATATAATCCCGATTTCATGTTGAAATTGTGTATTCTTAGGCATTCATTCAGTTACATTTTGTTGTTAATTCTCTCTTAACTTGACTAAGGTGTCAATTTCGGAAACTTTTTTTGACTTGATAGAATTATAAAGGCACGTAATGCCAACCTCTGATATACATAATAAATATCGAGAAGTTAAAGAAAACTTTGAAAATTACTTTAATACATTCGTCAGTCTGTTACATCATGACCATCCAAAAAGTCTTCAATTGGCAGAACAACATTTCCAAAATGTAAGTGTTCATTTTTTTACTTATTCTTTCATCAGTACATTAGGCTTTACCAAGATCTTCGCTCTCACAGGTTATCTTGCCAGGATCTTTTTCATTATTTAGGCAACAGAATGAACAACCTTGACTCATTCTAATTCGTTCTAATTATGTCACTAAATATATCGTAAGTTATCTTGTTTATTTACATTAGGTTACTGAAAGATCAAAAAGTACCGATTATATGTGCCACTGTTCGAGATATTTGTGTGAAATATTGAGACACTTTAGACAATGTACATAGGAAGCGATACGTAAGATATCACGTCGAACAATGAGTAGTAATTTGGTTTCGTTTAATGTTCCTTTGCGAGTCTTGAGGATAAAAATATTTTTTAAGAGGCCTTTCTCAAGTCAGACATCACATTATTTGTCGTCATATCATTGCAAAAATAAATTTTAATGTTGATATTCACGTTTAAAGTAGACTTCGTAGTATACATGGATTGTGTATATGAGATTTCTCATAAGCTGAACGGCTTGTTCTTAATAAAAATGATGGTCAGTTAACTCACTTCAGGTATGAGTACAGCAAAAGGGCTACTTAAATTACGTCTAAGTAATATGCGCTGCTTACTAGTGTCTTTACTCCATACTATCAGTAAAGAATATCTTACATTGACCAAAAACGTTTTTTGTCTTATGTATAGAGATTTTTTGTAAGAAGATATCGACCAATCTAGTTAGAACATCAGTCAATCATCTACGACGTAGGGTCAGGTACATATATACATCGGTCCAAGTTTTCATAACTCATTATCACAACAAGATGGACACCAAATCTATAGGAGCAGTTACCTCAATGGTAGTAATATATAAAAACAAAGATCTCATACAAAGATATGATACAGGGAGAAAGAATTATTTCGTAGAAAATTATTTTAATCTCACGATTTAAGGGAAGACAAAGAATGCATACACTTACGCCATTCTGGTCGATTCTGAACCATTTCACTCAGAATCTCCAACAAATGGTTACGATAGTCGCGCGGACCCCAACCAATTAGATTTCATCTACTAGTATGGCTTAGACTGGAAGTTAGTAACTTTATGGAGTGATGCTGCGTTTTAGTTTGACCGCTCCTAACTTCCATCATTGTCGGACGCCGATAAGCATGCCTGTGTTCTAAAACCTGACGAATGGTGAATATGTGATCAATGCAGCCACGACCAGGTCTGAAGCCAGCCTTATTTTCTCGTGTTTGCAGTTCACGAGTCTTTGTTAGACGTCCGATAATTATTGAGGCTAATATTTTAGTTGCCATTTTAGTCAAACTAATTCCTCTATAGTTATCACAGGATGATTTTGACCCCTTATATATTGGGACGATCTGTGATTGCAACCAGTCAGATGGGATTGCGTCCAGTCCCCAGATTTTAGTTAAAATATTGATCAACCTAATCGCTGAAACTTGACCACCATCCTTAAAAACCTCTAGAATTAACCCATTTGCACCATCTTCTATCCCTCGTTTCAGATTAGTTATAGCTTTTTGAACTTCAATTAGAGTCGGGGGACCTAACTCAGTGTTCCATTCAGGCTGACTGGGAATGGTGGGTAGTTGTAGAGTAGCTGAAGACCAGCTGAACTGTTACTTAAAGTGTTCCGCCCATGGTTCTAAACGTCTAGGCGGAGAGCAGATAAGCGTGTCGTCTTTCTTGATGATTGTCTCACTTACACTTGGCTTTTAAATTCCGGTTTCTTTTACTAGTCCGAAAAGCTGTTTTGTGTTAGCTACAGCCTTTTCCTTTTCCATCTCTTTTACTTTTGTGGCTCGCCACTGCTCACGGTCGTTCCGTAGACTTTTGGTTAACCTAGATCTGACTTGTTTTCGCTCTTCATTTTGTTCAGAGCCTGATGGGATACGTTTACGATAATCAATCAGTACAGTAGACTTAATAGAAACCCACTGGTTTTTCGTAACCATTTGGTTCAAATCAATAATAAATGTCGCCACTGTTTCCACAGATGTTCGTATATCTTTCCAAGCAACATCTGGGTCAGCCTCGTTTTCAAAATCGTCGAAGTGTGGTTCCAGTTGTTCCTGAAATATACCTTTGGCTTTATCGTCGCCGAGTTTAACTCTAATGGGTTTTAATGTCTTTTTTGCGTCCAGTGCGGCGCAAGCAAATGCGTGCTCGTATTAGAGCATGATCAGAGTCCAATCATGTATTCCAGAACGAACAGCAGTCTTCTATCGAGCCTCTCCATTGGTGAACGATGGCAATATGGTCTATTTGAGTCCATTGTTGGTTTGGTGCAGGGGGTCGCCATGTTAGGCGATGTCTCATGCTTTAAATTATTGCTTGTTAAAAATAAACGATTGTCTGAACAAAGTTGTAGCAGTCATCATTATTTGTTCGCTTGGTCAGAATAACAAAATACCTACTTAAATGTCTTTCTGTTTGGTTTAAACTGCCTACTTGGGCATTAAGGTCGCCTGTTACGAGTACTACGTCTGAGTATTTAGCTTTTTGAAGAAGTTCAGAAAGCTTTTTGTAAGATTCATCTTTCGTTTCACCCAGGTTGCAGTCAGTGGGAGCGTAGGCAGAAATGACGAAAAGATGACAACGTGTTTCTCTGTCCTTCCGAGTTCTTACAGAACCTTTTAACCGAACAACACATAGGTAACTGTTAACAGGGACAATATTTCGCACACTCGAGTCGTTGGCCATGGTGACACTCAAGTAGTAAGTTTATGGTTGATAGTCGAGGTAGGAGAAATAATAAGGATTGACGAGGAAAATCGGTTATGAATATAGTGGTCTTGAGTGCTGTTAGAGGTATGAGGGCGTTTATCAACTCCCGGTTACTCACACCATAAAAGGGTTATTCTAGAGGTACCCGACCGTAGCTGCTACCTTGATGTGGTGGTCGGGTTCGCCTATCGTGATGACCAAACCGAGCTATATTGGCTGGAACATATGTTCCTGTAGGTTCTACCATGCCAAGCAGGCCAATTGGAGAACGGTAAGACTAAAAGCAGCAACTCAAGGTCTGAAGGCGAAGTCGTACTGCTGACTGTAGAGGGATGTGACAGCAGTAAGGTGTTTCCCTCGGACAAACAACATCTGCAGCGATGCTTCCTACTCACAAGAAAGGAAGGGGTTAGAAAAGGTCGACCCTCAAAATGTCACGCCTCACATTACCTCGCAGATTTCCGTCTCCGGCGGTAAGGCCCTTTGGAGAACGGAGCTAACACGTCAAAAACCTCCCACAAAAAGGCCGTGCGCGACCGGCCTCAAGCAGTTGTCCCTTGGGCTCTGCGGTCACGCTCCCAGGTCGTCAAGACCAACACTAATCCAATTTCCTTTTCAGGTTCCTCAAGAAATACCCTTCCACGGTGTGGGCAGCCGAGAAGTGATATCAGCCCTCATACCCGTAACAGCATACGAGACCTAGTTGTTCACATTCAAATCCTTCCTACACCTCATAATAAATCTCTTATCTCCACGACTAACCGTTCTCACGTTCCTTTATCACCTCGCACCGTTAGGGCAAACGATTCGATTACGCGGAACGTTATTCCTGGTCTCCTGAAATCACTCTCTAAACTACATATAGGAGCATTTAACGTCCGAACACTGTGCCAAATAGGACAACAGGCTTCCTTAGCTAGGATAGCGAATGCAAGAGAGATGGAAAAGGCAGCGGCGATAGGTAACAGCAGACAACTGTTCAGGCTTGTTAAGGAAACTGGTATTAGGAACCTAACTTTTAGTGAAACTATCTCCGAAAAAGATGGACATATTGTTCATTCTCAATCCAGGAGATTGGATCGATGGACAGAACACTTTAGGGATCAATTCAACTGGCCTTCAGCCACACTTCTGTTTCCCACGATCTCCAGTCGACCTGAATGGTAAGTTGATGTAAGTCCTCCGACTCTTTGCGAAGTTGAAAAAGCTATAGGAAATCTGAAGCGTGGGAGAGAGGCAGGCTCTGACAGGTTTACTCCTGAGACTTTTAAGGATTGTGGTCCAGTATTAGCAGCGAGATTGACTGAGGTCTTAGGTAGGATCTGGGAACTGGATGTAATCCCATCTGACTGGTATCAATCACTGATTGTATAAAAAAAGCACAAAAGTCTTCTTGTGACAATCACAGAGGGTCAGTTTGATTAATATAGTGTCTAAAATATTAGCTTCAATAATTCTTCGACGCCTAACCAAAGCTCGTGAAGAGCAGACTAGAGAAAATCAGGCTGGTTTTCGACCTGGACGTGGTTGTATAGACCAGGAATCAGTTTGACTAATAGACACACATTCAGACGTTCCAAATTAGTAGCATGTCTCGACCTTAAGGCAGCACTTGAATCTGTTGATCGTGAGGCTCTGTGGCAGTGTTTGTCACTGAAAGGAGTATCAAAGACGTACATTATCCTTATAAAGGCTCTCTACTCGAACACAACTGGTCGAGTGAGAGCTTATGGCGAACTTTCATCAGAATTGATTACCTCAAGTGGTGTTCGTCAGGGCTGCCCACTCTCTCTATTCTTGTTTAACTTCGTCATTGACGTGCTTTTAGAGATAACACTTTCCTCATCTAAATTTCCACGGGTTGAACGTTTACCGGGAGATTCACTTGTTGACTTAGAATATACCAATGGCAGTTCTATTTGGTGAAGACGCTGACAAAATGCAGTCTTCTGAACACCAAATAAGCAACAATGCAAGCATGTTCGTGATGCAAAATATTGCTTCAGGATTGGGTTGCATCGACACCCGAACTAATGATAGGGAGTAAAGTAGTTGAGTGTGTCGATCGCTTCACTTATCTCGGGAGTCTCATCAGCCCTTGTGGTCTGGTGTGTGACGAAATCTCAGCACCGATACAGAAGGCTCAACTAGCTTTTACCAACTTGCGTCATTTATGGCATAGGCGAGATATCCGTCTACCAACCAAAGGACGTGTTTACTGCGCAGCAGTTCGTTCCGTCCTACTTTATGGCAGTGGAACATGGCCAGTAAGGGTAGAGGATATTCGTAGGTTACTAGTGTCCGATCATAGGTGTCTTTGAAACATTGCTCGTATATCCTGTGACCACCGAGTAAGTGACTCAGTTGTTAGGAAACGGGTACTAGGTAAGGATGGCGAAACAATTGATGAACTAGTGAAACTTCATCAGTTGAGATGGCTGGGACACGTGTTACGTATGCCCAACGACCGACTGCCCCGACGTGTGATGTTTCATGGTGTAGGAGTAAGTTGGAAGACTACAAGCGAACAGACCAAAACATGGCACAAATCCATGAAATCACTGACAAGTGGACTGAGCCATGTTGATAGGTGTAGACTACCTGGTTGGGATCGACGAGACGATAGCAACCGATGGTTAGAGATCTTGAATGACATGGCTCGAAATCGTTTGCAGTGATGTGCGCAGGTGTATCCACTCTTTGTGTTCTCCTAAATTCTAGTCTTCTGAATTCTTCATATCCCTTTTTTCTCTTGTAAAATTTATTTCACTGTATTGTACTCCTTGAATAACATCTTCAGACCCTAATTTTTCCGATTACTGTTTATACTTTTACTACCTCTACCACTACGGGATTGGAATTGATAATTGTATCTTTGTGTTAATGTGATATGGCAACTCGAACTGATGTACGTACGTACGAAGTTCCACGTTGTTACTGATTGACTGACTGAGAGGTACTTGAAAAGGAAATTTGGTTCGAGTTAGTTTTTGTGATCTGAGAGCATAAGCACACTACCCAAAGGACAACTGCTTGAGGTCGGTCACAAGACTTTTTTTGTGGGTACTTTTTGTGTTAACTCCGTACTTATTGAGACGTTACTGACGGATTCGGATATCCGTGGGATAAGGCGATGTGTGCATTTTTAGTGTCGATCTTTTCTAACCCCACCCTTCGTTTATGGGAAGGCAGCATCGCTGTCATGCTGGTTGTCTAAGGGAAACACTTTACTGCCGTCACAATTCTGTGCATTCAGCAGTACGACTTTAGCCCCGGACCTTGAGTTTACTGCTTTTAGTCTTACCGTTCTTCAACCGACCTATCTGACGTGGTAGGACCTTGAGGAACGATCGTTCCAGCCAGTATAGCCCGCTTGGTCTATCATGATAGGCAAGCTCGGCTACCACGTCAAGGTAGCAGCAACGGCGGGTTAAAGTGATGTGCACTTCAGAGAAACGCCGAAATGCCCTGTTAACTAAACGTTAATTAGGTTGGTTGATGAAGTAGCTTGTTAACTAAATGCAATACTTATTATTACTAGTTAGAACATAAATAATAAATAATCCGTTCAGTCAATTGGGTATATTTTAATAAGCATCCGTCAAGCAATTATATAAATTACCTCATCAACCAACCTAATCAATGTTTAGTTAACAAGAGCATTCGGTGTTTTTCTTTAGTACACATCGCTTTATGTTATTACTCAGGTACTTAGTTATTACTTCACAAGTGCAGACTGACTTCGTTATCCTAGGATGCTCAATCCTACAAACAAGCCATACATGATTTCTTATAGGTAACAAATTCTGGACGTAATTTATTTCAAATCAATATTTTTTTCCGGAAAGCAATTTAATCTTAATACCGTTCTTGTTTCTATCCATCTTATGACATCATCCTTGTCTTAATCTCATGTTTTTCAGGTAACTTCGTATAATTTATCTAGTGGCAAACGAATTCGAGGAGTGTTAGTTGTCCTTTCGTATATGGTGTTCAGCAATAAAAATGAAAACTCTAGGAAAAACTTGTCGTGTGCATATCTTATTGGTTGGTGTGTCGAATTGGTAAATATTTTAGTTTCCTCAATTGACTTTTTTGAAGTTAATTGCCCTTATATCCTGATATTAGTCAAAAACATCCGTGAAAATCACGGTCATATTGTTAATCCACGTACCAATAGAGTTATGTATTATGTACGTTTCCCCACAAGATTGAACTCAATGCTTTTAAATTCATTGGTGAGATTATTGATTTTTGGACTAGTAAGGTATATTCCAGTGACTGAGGCTCTCAACCACCGTAATGTTATCCTAGTATTATCAGCCTTTTAACTCGGATTTCGTTCTCAAGTTGGAGGTTGATTATTTTCAGGTGATCCATTTAAATTAGAATTTATTTCTATTCATATCACATATACCTTCTGGTACAGCATGCCACTAAAAAAAGAGCCACACGAACTGGATTAAGAAGTTTTGACTTCTGGGGAAACGAACATGGTATTTGGCAGCCTCAGTAGCACTTATTTCTTCATAAGATAAGTCGTCGTGTCGCAGATTGATTATTTACTTAATGACAACTATCGAAATCAGACTATGGGTCATAAGTTAATAATGTAGATGATAGATGTCCGAAAGCCCTATATTTTGCTATTAAAATGGAAACGTATGCATACTAACAACCATTCTCAGAAGTTGACAAGACGCTGGTCAGTGTACCCCATTTCTAAGCAGTAGTATGTTTTACGTGAGTCTATGATCGCGTTAAAACTGACTGTTTTCTATCCACTGACTTAAAGTCTCTTGTTTTGTCTGTGCCCTAGTTACACGCAGGATTCCTTGTTTTGGATGATATAATTGACAATTCTACACTTAGACGGGGCCAACCGTGTTGGCATTGTACTCAGATAGATTTAAACCGTGGGTTAATTGGAGTTAATGATGGTTTACATCTGATTTTATCATCGAAATACTTGATCCACTCTTTATTTGCTGAAAATCAAAGTAATGTTGATTCATATTCATGGAAGGACAAAAATAACGTATATCTCAAATTATGCAAATTGTTTGATGAAATTAGTTACAAAACGTGTTCTGGCCAATGCTTGGATGTACTATCAGCAAATCCTAATAATCAATGTATTTTGAACGGAAAACAGAATAATTTGGAGTTTGATAGTTTTGCTCGAAACTACTCATCAGATGTCTTTGAAGCTATAACACACTGGAAGACGGGTTTTTATACTTTTTATCTACCTGTAGCGTGTGGAATGATTTTGGTAAGTTAACTTAATTATTTCCGTTTCATTTATTATCTTCTCTTATTTATTAAGGATTTTAAACTGCAAAATGTACATTTTTACTTCGTACATCAATTGTTAGACTGAATAACTTTCGTAATAAAAACATTTGTGTAATATACTTTATATAAAGATCAAAGTTTTTAAGTTTTGTTTTAGTTCTAACAAAGTCATTGTTTGTAATCACCAATGTTATCTAGCCTTCATACTTATGAAAACTGAATGCATTTAAGCCAATATAATTGATTTTAAGCCATATCACTTAAATTTCCCATTTATTCAATTCAACTTACCAACCACAAGTTTTTGTCCTTCGTTCCGAGTCCCATTCTACGTCTGAAGACTAGTAAAGCTGCCTAGCTGCTCGAACTGAAATAGATAGAGTGGCGTTCAAACCTGCAATCTAGCGGCTGAGAGTCAGAAGCTTTAACCACTGAACTACGCCTTTTTACGTTATTAGCATATAAGGACCTGTGATCCCATATCATAAATGGTCATTATATTACTGCTATTAACAAGTCCCATAACTTATTAGAACCTTCATAGTAGATTACCTACATACTGAGCAGCTGAGATCCTCATTCTTCTCAACAGAAGAAAGGATTTCAGTATTATTTCATAAATGCTGCCTTCAAAATTTTATATATTTTCATTCATTATTCAAGTTGAATAAACCGATTAAAAACGGTGGTTATACTTCTTGTCTTTCATCTTGTTTGTTAACATCAAAGAAGTAATAGCATTCTGTTTAATATACACTGTTCTTTGAAATTTTTTTCTTAAAAATAGGCTGAAGTTGATGATACAGATGATATTTTCGAAAATGTTCAATACATCCTCCTTAAATTGGGTAACTACTTTCAAGCCCAGGTAACTAAAATACTTTAAAGTCATTTCACAATAGGATGACTATTTAGATTGTTTTGGTGACAGTAAAATTACTGGAAAAGTTGGGACTGATATAGCAGAAGGCAAATGTACATGGCTAATTGTTGAAGCGTTAAAATACCTTTCACCTGAACAATATAAAATACTTAAAGTAAAAGGAATTTTCTTTCATTTTAAAATTATCTTATCGTCGAAATAAATTGAGTTTGTATTTTTTGGATTGTTACATCCCACCATTATCTCTTTTTTATTGTATGATCGTAGATATGTTTCTTATTGTGGATTACTTCATATATTATATGTTGGTTATACACCTTCAGCTACGTTTTATCACGAGGTATTAATCATCAAAGTATAAGACACCCGACTGTGTAATAATATAAAGTCGGTTATAAATATTGAATAAGATATCCCAAGCACCTTGTGACTATTGTTATTTTATAATATATTTATCAAGTCAACTACGGAATTGAGCTGCTGCTTATTAAGTTAACTTTTACGAAATTTACTTTTGAATGCCTTCAATCTACCATAACACCTATCCATCAAAAGAAAAATGGTGAACGTCTGGTTAATCAGTTAACATGTAGAAGTACGCTTGTAAAGATAAATGACGATGACAAATGGTTTGCTTTCATTTAAGCTTGAAGGTGTCACTTTACAAATCAACCCTAATGGGAAGTTGTTATTGAGTATGAATAGACTTCCAATAATTACTAATAGATTACTACTTACCATAATTTTACATTTATCGTTTTTCCACCGTATCACTACTTTGTGCCCATAATAGGGTTATTGATATTTTCGGTGTTTTGTCTTCCTGTTTTCAGTGTTATGTCTATACACAGCAGCTGCATATTTAATAAATCTCGATGAGTCTAAACTTGGGAAACTTGAGGTTAAGTAAAAGAATACGATGTCTTTATTCATTATTAACATTAATTAGTACTGGAAGTATTCACGTTTATTACCAAGTCATTGAACATCCAATGGTTTCTTCATAACTTTGTTTACGGTCGCCTTGTCAGAACGCGAGATGTGCCCTCATATTATATTTGAATTTGGTTCACTTTGACGCACCAAACTGGTCTTTTTTTGTGAATTTATGACAATTTATTTCCTAGCTGTGTTTGCGTCTGTCTGTTACCCATATTCCTCACACCCGTTTCTAAAAGCAAATCCCTATGATCTATCGATAACTACAGTGATCATTATTTTGCGTATTGGTCCATGTCAGTACAAAACACTTACGTATATCCTAAAATAGTCATAATTTTGTTGACATCGATATATGCATAATGAGATTGCGACTGCTATTCCCAAGACATATTCTATGAGTATGTGATATTTGGCCAATGTCTAGTTTTGTTCCAACTGTTTCTCTTATTCGTTCCTACTTTTATGGATAGCATTTTATTAGTTTCTTTTTTAAATTTACTTCTGAACTAGCTGATGCTTTATCAAAATCATATGAAATTATACTGCTTACCTACACTTAGTCCATCCAAAATTGTTGTGTACCGCTTGCAAGTTTTAATTAAAATTTTACGGTAACTATCTTAGTTAGTCAAGTAACTTTATTTACGCCATTTTCAAAATTTTGGTCTTTCCTGTGATTCATGTGTCAGGTTGTATTTTGTAGCTTTTTACGTTCTTAAACACTTCCATTTCTTAGTTATTCCCGCACAGGTCACACGGAATCTTCGTTTTGTCATACCCTAGTTCGAATACTTTTAATGTGTAGATAAAACTACAATCTTCAAACATTCAAATGAAGTCCTTTAGTAAATTTAAGGAACTATAGTCGAAAATCTTTTTATGCTATGTGGTCTATTATTGAATATTGTAAATTTACCATATTTTATTCCATTCCTATGTTCTTCGTCAATATTCACGAACCAATATACTTCTAATTTAACCAATCACCTTATGTTATTGAATACCTGGATTGTATGTTTTCAGTCTTTCATGATGTTAATGCCTGTACATGAACAAAAAACAACTATCCATCACTAATTTCTGAATGAAAATGATAAGAATCTAGTCATCACTCCGTTCATCTTGGTATTCGTATACTTTTATACTGGTACGAATATTGGAAAAGTTGTAAATGTTGGAACCAGTTTTCCAATCATTACTTATATTTTTATTGTTGCATTTGTATATTCCCCTTATTGTGATCTCCCAGTAGACCTAGTAACCATTGTTTTGAATCCTCCCGTTTCTCAATTATTATCAATTAATTATGCATTATTAACCTTGCTCTCTGCCATTTACGGCATGATTGTGCTTAAAATATAATCTCTTATTTTTTGTGCTGTATGGTCAGGCATTTCAAGTATATTATTGAGTGAGTTTTGAGTGATAATTGAATTGAGCACAATAGATAATAAATCTACTTTCTATACGCGTCTCCTAATTGGCTACTGGGTTAGATGGAGCTCGACGGTCAATAAGCATTGAGGTCTTGGGTGTTGTTCATTAGTCAGTGTGTCTTGGTAATTATTAAGTCACCTGTCCTATTGGGAATATGGGTGAACTAATCTGTAATCGGAATTTTGATTGGGCAGTATAACACATATTATCGATTCATAATATATGCCACCAGTTATTCAGTTGTCAAGATTTAGTCAAATGCTTGGGTTTTGACGTATACAAGTAGTATTGTCAAATCATAGATGAAATGTTGGTGTTGTGTTGTGTGATGCGGCAAATAAGCAACGTTTATTATTGCTTAGACCATTATTTTTATTTTATTTTATTAAATTTACATGGCAGAACTGAATTTATTTTGTTTTACTGACTGTCAAAATTGTGTATTTAATCATCTTATATACATGTTTCTAACTGTAGACAAATTATGGTAAACCCGATCTTAAGTCGCAACAGACTGTTCGCAATCTCTATGGTGCGATCAAATTACCAGAGAAGTATTACTTGTACGAAGAACAAACTAAATCAGAGATTATGAATAACATTCAGAAGTTTATGTACCGTGATCACTTTTCTTTTGATCCTAGGGATTTGTTTACTTTTCTTGTCGAATTACTTTTTCAACGTGTTTGTTAAAGTGCCATGAAAATATTTCATATTTTTCCCATACTGTTTCGTCAATTTTCTTTAATTACGTCTTTTCTATCTCAGTTCTCTTCCTCCATTTCTTCTTAGTTCTACAATTCAGTCTTTACTTTTATCGTTATGACAATTTTATTTAAAGAATTCCCCTTCTTACATAATTATGGTGCATTTAAGTCTTCGTCAACATAATTTTGTCTAAAATATTTGTTTGTTTTCTTAAAATACTGACTTTAACAGCTTAGTATTATATATAATTATATTTCCGAATTTATTTATGTATTTGAACACGTAAATATTGCTACAAAAGGATACCGAATACATATGCGCCACACAATTCACTTGATTTGTATGTGGGTTGTGATACTGCCTGGGTACCCAGGTGGTATTTTAGGGTGCCACATCCGGAGCCTTCGACCTAAAGGTTTGATCCACAAGGCAGTGGATCAACGTTAGGAGATGCCATCCCATGGTAGCCAGTGACCAACAATAGGTTCATATGCCACTTATCCCTTCAGGATCCTGGAACCCATGTGCACTATTGGTTTGGGGTCAAGGTTTTCCAACTCCCCTAAGTGGATCATCCGTAATCATCAACATGGTTAAAGTGCCGGACATTCGCTTTTCGTCTTCTCATTTTCATAGGACTTCCCTGGAAGAGACTATGCACATATCCATGTGTGAGTATTTCGAGAGATAGAGCAGATTCTCCCCACCCTCGGCCGTACCATGGCATTTGGGAGCTCCGAATGAATTAAAACAGCATATTGCTTTTCATAAAGGAAAATCTGATTACACACTAATCATTGTAAGTAATTTAATTTCTTATTTTATATTCGTTTATGCGTAATAATTATCAGTCTCCAAAATATTTAACTAAACTACTAGGGTGACATAAAATATTTGTATTACGAATTCATATCGCATACAGATTATGCTGCGTAGTAGAATTCTAGATGATTATTATACTCCTAATACTAAGCGCACACACTTTTTCACGTAATTTTGTTAGTAAACTGATTACTTATAGATGACTAAGTGTGTCTTGATAGCTATACTATGCAGTTAGCAATACTCCTAAGTTTGCAATTTTAGATGTCAGATGAATGGACTAAGTCCATTTTCATTTTGTTAATTGCTTGGAGGTGGATTACGTACATTTGTAGTCACAACTTAGTCGGATATCTTATCAATTTTATTTTTATAAGTTTATAAACAGCAACTTTAACATTAAATCTTTAGATCCCAGTAGCAGCTTTAGGAATAATTAAAAGTTATAAATACAACAATATTCCAATGGACGCATTCGTCTCGTGAGTACCACGTCTCATGCACTATTATTATGACCTTACCGTCAATATTTCAAACCGGTCTTGAGTACACAAACAAATATTACTCAAAAAATTACAATGGTTCCATGCCATCACATACCATAATTAAAATGACATAACTACCGTAATATATCAAACGAATTATCAATTAATGTTGAGACAAGCGCGGCTTGGTAATTCATGCACCGAGAACTGTGTCGAGTATGCAGGTGACAAACCCCTATATGTATAACATTTTGCCTACCGTTATTACATTTCGTCTTGACAACAGATCTAAAATTAGGCTGTGATTTGATAAGAAAATATTGGTGAAAATAGGATACAGTGTAGTTTTTATGAATAGTCTGGATCGTAGATTTGGAAGTGTGACAACACTTACATATGATTAACAAGGTAGCTGAAACATTAAGTGGATGAAATAACTAATTCTTAAAGGTATTTATTGAAAAGCACATTAATCTGAACACTCAGGATTGATAGTCTGCGTAATATCTAGTGATGTGACGGAAGGAAGGTATTGTTTACGACTAATTCTGCCTATTACGAGATGGCTAGTACAAATGCTGAAATAATCGAGGGTCGCGTTCGTTGAACCAACCAGTGTCTCTGTAAAATATCAAGATCATTCATTAAGTACATGATTTACATATCTATTTCTACATGCTCCATTTTTCTCCCAATTCCGTTGTTATTTTTACCAAGTTCTGTTTTTGTTCCTCCTTTCTTTGATCGAATCCCTTGCTGGTTAGCATTTGAGTTCCTACTACATACTACTTGTATCTATACGCATAAGTAGCGCATACCACTCTGGTAGTTACGACCAGTTTCATAGCATCCCTAAGTGTGTTTTTTACTCAAAGTAGACTTACTAGGGACATTATGTTTTGTGTACAATCAAAACCTGCTGAAAAAATCAGAGGAAATAGAACTCCGATTTCTTTATTTAAAGAACTGATCCTCAGATGAATCTGCATTTTCAGTTCGGTAGAAATTTTCACAGACAAATAGATGGTGTTGCTATGTGATCACGAAAACGAATCGTTCGTTTGGTAAGTGATGTTCCAAAGTACCTTAGTCTCGCACGCGAACGCCTAACCTCTAGACCACTCAGCCAGCATCCAGCGGTGTGAATGTCTAACTTAAATCGACCCATGATCTTGCGCAACTATTCATCTATCGTCTGAGATAGATACCTGTCTCTACCCGACACAGATCGGAATTCACTGGTCACGGCTTCTAATTAGAACCCCAAGAAATCAGCTTGAAGTCACACACTAGTAAGCACATGATGACAGTTATCAGAATTAGAGTCTTGTGGAGACTGTAATAATCTTAATAGTAGAGTTTCAGATACACTAATTGTAAGAACGTTGCACTTGTATTGCCAATACTTGAATTCACATATCAATCAGACCCTCCTTATTCACTGCTTATGATGTCTAATTATGTGATAATTTCCACCTCTTCGTGAGCTCCACCAACCAAAATGTAATACTTGCCAAAAATAATAATAGGAAAAATAACGGGCTCACCTGTTAAGTTGAAATGTATATTTAACGTGGAGATTATATGCACAAATCACATTTGAAATAAAATATTTTCTTGATATGATGATGTTTTCGTTTCTCCTACATGAGACCTGTCTTTTTGGTGCTGAGTGAATTCACTCATTCTCCTCAGTCATGTGAAAAGTAGATGTGGGAAGTGACAGGTGGACTAGGTATTGAAATTAACTACATAAACGGCTAGTCCCAGATCGCCTATCGACAGAAGTAAATCTGTCACCCTATATCATTTTGGATACTTTTTTTCTACCCGTAGTCTCTGTATGGGAAGAAGCACAATGACAAGTCGATCTACGTTCCGTCAGGCAGTCATTACGACAACAAAGACGAACAGTCAACATGTATGTAGACCCAAAGAACGTACGCTATTAAAAAGGGAGGTGTTGGGGATAACAAATCCTTAGAACTGACTCGGTAAACGTCTTAATTTTGTAACTTCATTTCGGAAATTTTAATTTCATATTTTCGCGCCAAAAGAATCTTCGACTTAGCTAGTGGTCTTGGCAGGCAAAGCGTGTGGAACTAGCTATCTTTCCAGATTTCTCGGCTAATCTGAGAAACCGTGATAAAATTGAGTAACATGCATCAGACAAAATATTTGTCTGTATTTACCATAAACCCATACGGTGAATTCTTGTAACAACGACTAACTTTGAAGGCAAATCAGACTACTTCCAATAGTTTACTAGGTGATCTATCATTTTTGTGCATCGTTTTAATTCATTTAGACTAATCATATATAATATCATGGAAGCATCACTCCAAAGCTCTTTTTTAGTGAGATACATTCAGTTATTTAACAAGACAAGATACTACTGTACAAATGTATATTGTTTTTAGATGAAGAATTTTAGATTAAACAACAACACAACACCGAATATTGGTTCTCATTTCCACTGTCATAAATACCATGCGCTACGATTACAAGTATTTCTGGAACATGATTTGTAATTTAATGAGGCAACTTAAACCAACTTACTGTTACGGAAAGAAAACGCTAAAAATGCCTTCACAGCATTTCATCGGACACTGTTGTCATTCATTTGTTCCTTCTCCCTGTCTTGTATCTTAACCTTCATTTACGTCTCGTTTTAACCACACATAATGTTCTTCAGTCTTTCGTGTTGAGGTTTTGCTTATCTGGTCTCGGTCAAAGATTTACCTTTCATTACTTAATTTACTGTTGCATCTTCCCGAACTATTGACAATAAAGTCATGTCTGGTTAAAATCAAGGTCATTGTATTGCTGTTAATTTTTTATTGTCTGCTTGGAAAGTTTGCTGGAATCCCTGAAGATGAATATCGGATCCCATCGTGTTAAGAATGTTCTTATTGATTCTCGGTAATCGAATTATTATTTATTAGCTATTCCTTTTTTGTTTAGCGCTTAAATTTGCGTTAGAGAAACCTTTGACTATAAATCACAGGTTATACCTTTCGGGGTATTGCGATATGATTTGTCCTCGCTCGTAAATTATAATCGTCTAAACCGGACGCAGCGTTTGTGTTTTGAATTAAGTTGATACGAGTCACTCAAAAATGTTTCGGACGCCGTACAGGAGAACGTAGTTTGACTTGCTCGAATAAAGTTTGGTTCGTTAGTTCGGAATGCAAACCGAATATTGCTATTTCGGTCGTCACACCACCTTTTTCAAAACATTCATTTTACTTGCTAACATTTTTGAATTGATAAACGTAGATGTATTCTGAAACATTAAAAACATTCAGGATCTAAGACAAAATTACCGCGGTGTGCAACCAATATATTTACTGCACAGCTAAATTTTTTGTTATGTTTGATAACATTAGTGTTCATTAAAGTTACGATTTATACTTACAATATTCCCACTATAAATTACAAAAATCTAAAGACAGTTATTTCGCTCATATGAACTCATATTTCGTTAACCACAAGAATAGTCAATAGTGCATATGAACTGCAGAAGGCACCTAAGTTTGAGAACCTACCAAGTATCTTTGTACCTTTTTCTCATATATGAGCAACCTGGAATCAGCGAACATCGTATATGAGTGCAGGTTTCGTGAACAATAACACTGCTCACACACGCACTCGTATCATTGTCATTCTGAACGCTAGATTAGTACTTGGCAGATAAACCTCATCCAGTCGTAGTAGGCCTAACTCTAATATTTCCCTACACTAATCGATTATTGGCAATATTTGTGACTAATAGAATATGTACACTTGTAAGGTGAAAAACAACCCGGTTCTCAAGTGGCTTTAGGAAATATGGCTTCATTATGGTAGACATGTCAACATAAAGCCAACCGAATGGTTAGTCTATAAACGTTCTATCATATCACGAATCTTAAGAAGCCTATTCGAACCTGGGATTCAGCTCTGAGTTTTTTTAACTTTTCTGAGGACGTCCTATTTTAATGAGTACTCGTGCCCAAGATGTACTGCGAGACCAAACATTAATGTTTAACTGAACATTCAGTTTGTGTATCTGATTATTTTATACAAACACTGTTAATTTATTCGGGTTCGACTGAATTTATCTGCTTCTTTTTCCGAAATAGATTCTTCCTTTTTGACCTTAGAACGACTCATCAGACCGATGAGTAAACACCTGGTAGCTAGACAGAGCATGGGAAAGTAGTGCCCCACCAGCGTGGTGTTTGGTTGCCTGTCCATGACACCCTTTGAGTTATTCATGTCTCGATTTTTTTACCTTCCATTCTCTTACTAGCTCTGAGTTCATGTAGACAGCATCGAAAATAAATCGTGTACGATAATCTGTGGAAAGATGTTAAATGATGCTAAGAAAAGCTAACAAAGTATGTGACATTTATAGACTATCTCTGGATATTGATTGAGCAGTGGTGTTCATTGATCATACAAAAATGATCAAACACCGAACGAGTTGGTAATTCCCCATCAGGCTATGGGACCCGAAGTGACATGTCATTCAACCGACATTTCTCTCTTCTTTAGATGACAACGAAGTTCGTGACTTAGTTTCGAGTCCCCCGATGTCATAACTACACATTATTTTAAGACGTGAGATAATAAACTGTTTATTTTTGTCGGTCAGTCAAAGAATGCAGATGCTTTTCCAGAGGGAAACATTAGGTGATATGTCTCCGTCACAACTTGTAACTACCGGTGCCAATCATTCTTATCGATCTAGTTGCATTATTTACATGCGTTTTAACATGAGAGACATTTAAAGATCGTTGTAAGCCAAACGTTTACGATTATTCCCTGTCGTAAAAATCTAATGACTCATCCAGTGAACACTCTGTTGACGAGTCCTACTAACCGGACCACAGTTCTCAGTTCAAACGCGCGTTACTCGTGTTTCGCCTGAATTTTCAAGCTGCTTAACAACAGATATAGACAACAAGTCTCTAACTACGAATTTGCTTCCATACAATAACGGTGAAACCAAACCAAGCGGTAGAATGAAGTGGCACTAAATAAATCATAGGTTTGCTGCTGTGTAAATTAAAAGATCATGCGGTGGCAGTTATGCATATAACTCTGTACTTGAGCACAAATACATCATGTTTAGTTTTGAAGAATATTTTTCAAAGACGGCTCCTACTCCTTGGCAACTCTATACCTTTCTCACAGATTCACGTGGGTTAGTCTGACAGCCTAGAATGATTTTATTATGGTATAAAGAGACTTTTTATTTTGTAGTGTGGCGTCGAGTCGCGTTTGACTATGAGCACCATTACAAGAGGGCTGCGCACCAGAAATCGGATGGCGGTTGCAGGTTGTAACGAGATATATTCGTTGGCGATCTCTTAGTGTCGAAAGAATATGAGGATCGTGCCAAAGAAATACGAGTGTAATCAGTGGGCAAACGTAAGAGCGTACAAGGTCACAATCAATGGAAGAGAGTAATGGAAGAATAATGGATGTTTTTAGTACAGTTAAACAATCACGGGTACAATTGGTTATAATAATTGTTTCCATTAAACCAATCGCGTTCTCTTGATAAAAGTAGGTCACTACAACTTTCCCAAATATAACCGAAGGCATATACTTTAGAGATTAACTGAAGTGTGATCACTTCTTGTAGGATGGGCAGAAGTGAGATGCCAAGACATCTGTTAAGGAACCTTATTCAAATATTTCTGGACCGAAATCCATACTTTCCATAGTTCATGTTTTTGAGTGTTCAAACCTTTCCACTGAGATTTAGCTTATTTTAGCAGATTTCTGAAGCACAGTGGCGGAAATCAGACCTGGACATGACTAAAAACGTCCTATGAAAAAGTAGCTACAGTACCAACAGAATGAATAATTCACTGTTTCTCCAACAATGTTTGATGTTTGAATTCTGTTCTGCTGTTTATTTCGAAGGCGGCAGTACGAATGACTCTCCAAAGTGGTATTCACGGTAATAATACTTTGTTAGTTGGTTTATTTATTTTTAGCTGACCCATATGAAACATCTAAACTAGCAGATTGTAAAAGCCTTTCGTATAGAGCCGTGAAGCTCATCATAGATAAAGAAAAGATAGTTTTACTTATGAAAATACCATCTAAAGGTTCTTGGGAAGATGATTTTGATGTTGCGATGGGGAAGCTTTTAGATGCCAGCTCTCCGTGTTATGTGTTTTATCGTCTTGATTCCGTCAACTCTTTTGGAAGCGACTGGATTTTTATATGTTATGTTCCTGAAAGTTCTGACGTAGGTTTTGGTTGAATTAATGTAATAATATCACTTCAACTATTCGTTAGGTGCGTCTAAAAACGATATATGCAGCCACTAAAGCAACTGTTCTTAAGCAGTTTGGAGATAACTTAATTAAGGATGATATAACAATAAATTGTGTGGTAGGTTCTGTAATTCTTGCTTACATTTTAAGGGTGAAATGAACTTAAGGGCCTATAAAAAAATTATGGAAAGTAAAACTGCACCTGGACCTTATACTGAAGCTGAAATTGAGGTGGCTGGCATACACACAGGAGAAGTATGTTGAGATTTCATTCATATACCTAAAGGTGACCACTGGACTGCATTCCAGCTATCAAACAATCGGTGGTGTTTCATTCGCGCTTAGTCCTGATTCTCGCTCTGTGTTAAAGAATTTTGGTTCGGGAGAGTGTGATTACGTTCAGTTAGTAAGTTTGGTCAATGTGTAAAACGTGTTAAGACAGTTAAGATTGATCTTCTACATTCTAGTTGGGATTTTAAACACTGAAACGAAATTATTACATACTTAACCTATGGCATGCATTACTTGTACTCTGTGATGAAAAACGTTATTTTAAGAGTGGTACTTAAGAAAACAGGGACAATCAAAGTCACACAAGTCGCTTCGTGTATGCCCATGTTACCTACGTGCATGTAATGAGTCATATCACATCACACGGACATTTCTATTTGAACTGAGGTATTCCGTATTAGGATTTGTATTAAAAACCCATTCGTTGGTTCTCAACAGATAGAATGGACTCGGTGTTCAACATCTATCAATTTGTGTATGACAAATTAAACTACAAAACCCTATATTTTCTCTGTTAAATTGTTTATTAAATTCATTTTGTTTAGTTGCTGATTTTAAACCGTGCTAATAACTATGGTGGTATGTCATTTTAATAGAAGTGTACTTCGGTATAATTGATCTGGCGTTTTCTTTGTATTATCTCTCAATTCACGACGTGTAGGTAGTACATTCTGGTGACTTCTATTGTAATTAGCGGATAAGAAAGACTTCAAATGAATATTCAAGCAATTATACTTCCATAAAAAGTAGAATAGTTTGTATTTGGTTTGTTACTAAGCTGATAGAGGTTTCATTTTAACTTGGAATCATTGTAAAGTTCTATTCTCTATGTTTGGTGATATTTAGTTGTCTAATTTCTCATTCATTTAAGAAGCAGAAATGATATGCTTTATCCCGGCCAATAAAAAGGTATGGCAAACAAATTTTAGGAGTATGATAAAGTTTTGATAACATAAGTTCCTATACATGTAAAAGACCAACAAATGTTTGTCTATATTGTGTTGCAGTTTAGTAAATATTCATACCATTCTACCTGTAACTTGAAGCGACAATGATGTATATTGCAGGGCTCACTTATCACCTACATCAGTCAAGCCATTAACCCTCAATACTATCTGTCATAATTAACATAAAGCATGGGGTAAGTAAGCATCAATTTGAATCACCTAGGTAACTTGGGATATGAGTGGTATCAATGACGTTTAAGGAAGGTTAAACAAAGAATTTAGTTTGGCAAGAAAAGATATAATTCATTTTTGTTATTGATGCTACCTATACCTTTAGGTCTGCTTTGAAATTCGAGTACAATCATCATGGGGAAAATGAATCGTTGATACATAATACTTACACCTTAACCCGTTGTGGTGTAGTGGATTATCTCCAAGATAATTCTCAATGTTTTGTACATTGAATGCCCTGATAACCGTTTTTAAATTAATCCCGATGGTTTATATATTTCAGAAGGCAACACGAAGTGCCGACTACAGTTTGTTATCGAATAGTACAGATCAATAAACCCCAGGCACGCCAAACAAAATCGGGCAGAAACGCTAATATGAGCAAGCAAATACATGGGCAGATTAATTGTCGAATACAGAATCAAATGAAAAGCCGAATAAATTAATAATATTCAAGTATATATATATGGCGAAGTGAATGACTTATCGAACGACTTAGGCAACTAACACCTGAGCTGGAGATAGGGATATGTGCATAGGCTGTCACATGTGATTAAGCATACATGTTCATGCAGACATGGTAATAAAAAAACCGAGATATAAAAATTGTTGCTATTCGAATAATTCTGTTAAATTAGTTGAAAGTGTTGATAAAATTGAACGTAAACGAACTTAAGTGTTGGAGAGCTGTTATAATGGTAGTAGCTTTGAATCTCTGTAAAAAGTAGTCCGACGACTTGGTATTTTGTTGCGTAACCTATTGTTTGTAATTTTTGCCAGAAATGTGATATCCTTAGTGAAACTATCAAAGTTTGCGGGACTCGTGAACATATTACGCCAAAACAAATAGCAGAAATTTGTCCAGAAAAAGAAGGTCGTTATCATCTTTTTCGTTTCCGTTATATGCTTGAAGGCGAGGAACATTCTGCTACCTGTAAGTTTAACATGCATTTCAGTAAGTACTTTTTTAGAACTCCTGTAGAAAATTTTCATTAACTTTGCTTTTGTTGAGGTATTCCAAAATACTCTATCCGCTCTTATCTAATGAAGCATCCATGGTACTGGTCTCCTGAATATCCATTACCGTTTCTCATATTTTCAAGTTTCTGACCCAAACCTGTTCTTAAATCAGTAAGTATTCTTTTT